AATTGTCACGTGATCTCGATGACGCAACAATATCAAGGAGGTTCTAGACTAGAAAGAAGACTTTATATTGTTTGTAAGTTTGTGAAACTTTTGTTTATAAATCATTGTTTGTAATAACTATTTGTAATAATTGTTATTGTAAATTGTACTGTTGTGTGTATATTAAAAATTATTTGTGTTAAAAAAGAAAACGGCGTGTATCAATCTTGTTGGCAAATATCGTAAATTGATTAATATATTGACATATATTTAAATACTAAATTTAGATTTATCAGTTAACTCAATTTCAGGCTATTGGAAATTCTAATATTTAACATAATAAATTGGAGGATCGTGTCCGAGGCCCCCCAGTGGCACAGCGGTATGTCTGCAGACGTACAACGCTAGAATCCGGGTTTCGATACCAGTTGTGGGCAGAGCACAGACAGCCCATTCTGTAGCTTTGTGCTTGATTACAAACAAACAAATAAACAAACAAATCGTGTCCTAAATCTGAATCAGACACAAAATTCGATCTAAATTCAAATCACAATTGAATTTATATTTATCAGTGCCAACAAGATTTGATCATGTCTGATTATTAAGATTTTCTTGTATCACCCTCCCTTGAACAACTAGAAAAATATAACAAAAATGAATTGCTCGAAATTGCCAAAGTTTTAGAACTAGCAACTGAATTTTCTAGAAGGCCTCCACACGGCTATAAATATAACCAAAGTGACGCACCAAGAGGGAGTATCTATTATTAGTTTGCTATAGTTAGTGTATATAAGCTTGGCTGTGGTTTCGCTAGATAGTAGATAGGGACAGTGGGAATCTCGTTAATCAACGAGAGAAAATGAACTAAAAAGTATATTACCCGAAATACTAGTATATGATGATTTGTTGCCTGAGGAAGCATGAGAGGAATACTATAGTGTTCCTACTAGTCAATCGGGGTTAAGTGATAAAGATTAATTACAGATATAGCTAAATCGAGCTTGAAGAAGTTCGTATCGAAGCTGAAAGAAAAAGAACAAGCTCGAATCGAAGCCGAGAAAGAACAAGCTCGTATTGGAGCCGAGAAAGAACGAGCTCATATTGAAGCTGAGAAAGAACAAGCTCGTATTGAAGCTGAAAAAGAAAATAGACGTTTCGAGGCCGAAAAAGCTCGCATTGAAGCCGAAAAAGAAATTAGGCTGAAAGAAATGGAAATTAGATTCAACACTGATCGACCAAGGCAAAATGACAACTTTGAACTCAATCGATATATTAAAGTACCACCGTTCCGCGAAAATGAAGATGATAAATATTTCCAACATTTTGAGAAGGTTGCCCAAACCATGGAATGGCCCACCGAAAAATGGTCGTTATTATTACAAAGTGTTTTAACTGGTACAGCACAAGAAGCTTATGCCGCTCTCTCTCTCTCTCTAGAAGATTGTACGAATTATGATAAAGTTAAAGCAGCTATTCTTAAAGAATACGAGTTAGTACCAGAGGCTTATCGCCAAAAGTTTCGAGGTTATCATAAAGAAGATAATCAAAGTTGTATGGAATTTTCCCACGAAAAAGAGGTTGGTGCAATTTTATGCATATTGGCAATAGTTTCGACAAACTAAGACAATTATGCTTAATTGAGAATTTAAATGTTGTGCGTGCGACGATCTCAAACCTTACTTAGATGAAAGTTGAAACACTACAGGAAGCAGCCGCTCTTTCCGATGACTACACTTTAACACATAAAACCACTTTTCATAAAAAGAAATTCATACCATTTCAATAAAAACCTGTATCTGTTCAATCCGCTAAAGTTGAGGATTCTTCTAAAAAATCTAGCTTCTCTAGTTCGAAATCTTTTGACAATCAGGACAAAACTTCTTTAAAACAATCAAGGCCTGTCTGCCATTTTTTTAAAAACCTTGTCAC